ATTATTATTATTGAGAGACAGACTCACTGTTCCTCAGGCTGGGACAGGAGATCACACACTGTATTATCATTATTGAGAGACAGGCTCACTGTCTGTTCCTCAGGCTGGGACAGGAGATCACACACTGTATTATTATGATTATTATTATTATTAAGAGACAGGCTCGGGACAGGAGATCACGCACTGGGTTTTAGCTTTATTAAGTTCCTCCCTCCTCTCCAAGTAGGATTGGAAGCTGTTCTGGTTCTTGCAGATGTGGAAATTCTGTTCCACAGTCCAGTCCAGCTGTGTCTCTCTTTGTCTTTCAGACAGTAGACGACCAGTATAGCGCCTTCAACAGTATAGAGCTGGTGAAGAAGCGACCTGCTCACCTGATGGTCTTCCTTCAACATGTTATGCTGCAGTTCGACTGCTCCCCTGTGGTGAGACAGAGGGCGGGCTGGGATGGGGAGAGGCTGGAGGGGTTTAGAGGTGGAGGATATGGGGTGTTCAACCATAGAGGTAGGGGTGATATAGGGGCTATATGGGTGTGGGTGGGGTACAGGGCTATAGAGGGGGTGTGAGTGGGGTACAGGGCTATAGAGGGGGTGTGAGTGGGGTACAGGGGGTGAGAGTGGGGTACAGGGGTATACAGGGGCTGTGAGTGGGGTACAGGGGTATACAGGGGCTGTGAGTGGGGTACAGGGCTATAGAGGGGGTGTGAGTGGGGTACAGGGCTATAGAGGGGGTGTGAGTGGGGTACAGGGGGTGTGAGTGGGGTACAGGTGTATACAGGGGGTGAGAGTGGGGTACAGGGGTATACAGGGGGTGTGAGTGGGGTACAGGGCTATAGAGGGGGTGTGAGTGGGGTACAGGGGGTGACAGTGGGGTACAGGGGTATACAGGGGGTGACAGTGGGGTACAGGGGTATACAGGGGCTGTGAGTGGGGTACAGGGCTATAGAGGGGGTGTGAGTGGGGTACAGGGGGTGTGAGTGGGGTACAGGTGTATACAGGGGGTGACAGTGGGGTACAGGGGTATACAGGGGGTGAGAGAGGTTCCATTGTCTTTGTGTGATCTTTCTCTTTGTCTCTCTTGCTCTGTCAGCTGTGTTACCTACATGCTGACCTCTGTAAGAGTCTGAGCCCGAAAGAGATGAAGAAGCACTTTGTGGAGTTGTGCAACACCTACCTGGACAAAGTAGCAGTTGAGTGTCTATACTGTTCTCTCCCTGTCTCTCTCTCTGTGTCTATACTGTCTCTCTCTGTATCTGAACTGTTCTCTCCCTGTCTCTCTCTCTCTGTGTCTTAGTGTTCTCAATTCAATTCAAGGTGCTTTATTAGCATGACCAATGAGTATAATCTGTGTTGCCAAAGCAAATAAAAATAAAATTAACATGAAACAAAAACAAAATCTACAGACATTTACAACAAAGACATATCATAAAATATTTACATATAGTGTAAACATATGGAGCATTACTGGGAGACAGACTCACTGGTCCTCAGGCTGTGACAGGAGAACACACACTGGGCTGCCAGTTCAAATGAGTTCCCTCCTCCCTCTCCCAGTAGGATCGGGAGCTGTTGTGATTCTGGCAGGTGTGGAAATTCTGGGACTAGATTTCTGA